ACAAATTCTACTACAGTAAAAACTAGAAAGGGCTGAGAACTTAGTAGTAGAATGCTTGTCTAGAGGCACAGGCCTTTAGGTTTTGTCCTGAGCACTGGGGTAGGGGTGGGAGGAACCCTAGGAAAACCAGTCATGACTCCCTTTCATTAAAGTTGGATTTAGACTTACTAAACCCATTGTGGAATTAAAACAAATAAATGAAAATACTTTATTATTTTTCTAAAACATATCAGTAGGGGTAGAGATACAGCTCAGTAGAGAGTACTGCACTGCTTAGCACATGCAAGGCTCTGGATCCAATCTCCAGCACTGAAAATAAAATAAATCAGCTAACATATATGCTCTACACAATCTTATATTATCACTTAAATATTACACAATCACAAACAACCTAAAAGTGACAGGAAAACAAAGCCAGAGAAATTAAAGGTCAATAAACCATTATTTAGATTTACAGTTCAATAGATATGATGGTAAAATTGTAAGACTAAACCTTTTTATTACAGTGTCTTTAAAATAAAAACACAGCAGGGGCCGGGGATTTAGCTCAGCGGTTTCACCGCCTGCTGCGCAAGTGCAAGGACCCAGGGTTCGATCGCCGGTACCAAAAAATAAATAAAATAAAAACACAGCCTACATTTTATATCCACAAAGAAAATGGAAACAAACTTATGGATTATACAATCTCATAAAAATATATTTTAAAAAGTTAGGTAGGTATGCTTTTATATGATTTTAGAGATTTTCCATACAGATACTTAAGAAATAGTCATCCTGGAAGAGTAGAAATGGGAGCTTAGGGAACTTTTGTTTCTCCCCATGTACCCTTCTGCACAGCTTGAATTCCTTATTGTACAGAAAAGTATTACTAGGATCTTTTTTTAAAATCTTTTTTTAATTTCTTTTTGTTAAAAAGAAAGAAAACAATCTGATGCATATTATAAAAAGCACAGGGTAAAAGGTTAACGAATAAAATGGATGACTTTAGGGAGAGGGTAGGGTGAGGAAAGGAAAAGGAAATTCACTTTTTATTGTTTATTTGTATATTGTTGATATACTTTTAAATTAGCTACTGGAAAAACTATCCAAAGATAATTATTTGGAATCTTAAAACATATTATTTAAAATATAGCAATTTTCTATTTTAAAAAGGTCTAGACACAAATATGGATAAATGCTAAAATAACCCCTTCAAAATAACATAATATGTATCCTCAATACCAAATTTTCAGGTCTAGGTGAACATAAACTGTTAAATTCAGAATGAAGACTCACTGAGGAGAATGTTAGCACAGGAAGTGTGGTCAGCTTTACTGTAAGAAGTGCCTAATATCTTCTAAAATTTAAGTTTAGGCTTCTTAAGAAAAAGCCTGTAATGTTTCTGGAAAAAGGATTTTGAGGACCTATTTAAACACTGTTCCCTTTGCTCAATGTTTTGAGAACTGTTAACTTCAATTGCATACCATGACCAATTTATAAAATTCTTCCTCATTCTAGCTAGTTCACCTTGAAATTTATTTTCTAACAAGAATTCTCACTGTCTTGAATCAAAGATAAAGCATTGTTACCACATTTGGGTAGAAACATCACTCTTTATGCTGAGACCTACAAAATCCATAAATAACTTGTTTTTACCCTATAATCCAATATAATCCTTTACATTTGGCAGTTTACCTAATAACCTAAATAGGACTGAATACAAACATACCTCATTTAGAATTCCCCATCAAGTAATAAAATGAAACATGTATGTTATTCCAATATGTTGACTCTGAGAAGCAACATGGTTGAGTAAAAGAAAATTAAAAGTAAAAGAAGTATCTTGAAGCCAGGAGTGGTGGTGCACACCTATAATCCCAGCACTTGGGAAGCTGAGGCAGGACGATCACTTAAGAGTTTGAGGTCAGCCTGGACTGCATAGTAAGCTCAAGCCTGAACTACAAACCAAGACCCTGTCTCAAAAGTAACAAAACAAAACAAGAATTCTGAAATGGGAGTCTGGTGATCTGGGTTCTGGATAAGTCTGAAGACACTCACTAATTTGCTGTGACATCTGAAGAATGGAAGGAAGAAGGTTTAGAGGTTCTTGTGTTTCAGGATCTCTATTACACGGAGAAGATGACTCTATAGGTCCTAACTCCAAAATGTATGTTTGCATCAAAAATTTAGCTTACAATTCACTTCTTATATCCATCCTGGACTCTATTATCTTTGCACTAAAAGAACTCTTAAGAGCACTCTATACTCCAAAATTCTATGATGTTCATAAAAGAACTGTATGAATTAGCTACTGGAAAAACTACGCAAAGGTAATTACTTGGAATCCCAAAACATATTATTTAAAATATAGCAATTTTCTATTTTAAAAAGGCCTATTTAGACACAAATAT